GCCCCTCTGCCTGAGCAGGCAGGGGCACAGGCAGCAAACCGCCGTCTCACGGACGGAGGAGCAGAGGGCAGAGCAGAGGTGACCGCTCGCTCCAGCTCAGCATCCTCCCCCGGGCCAAAACCGACCCAGCAGCCCCCGCTCGCCGGCACCACTTCGCAGCCAAAACACTTCCTTCCCCTCTTTCCTGTAAAATCGCCTGTATTTTTTATTATTATTATTTTAAATTGTGAAAAATACTCATTTGAAACGTGAATGGAGATGAAACATTCACAGAAAGTGCTACCAGGATTAGTCACCGGTTGTAATATCTCTATTTACATGAGTCACAGAGGTTGGCCGCGCGGCTCTTAAATTAAATCCCCGCCGGGTTTTCGATTTTTGGGCTGTCCTCGGGAGACCTTTTGGTAACTTTTCTCCGGTTCTGAGCAGAGCTGGCAGCTGCCTCCCAGCACGCGTGCTTACCGAAACACCGGCAGTAGCTGCAAGGGCTTTGCCACGAGGTCATGCAGCAGCCGGGGCTGGAGGCGATGCCTGGAGGGCAGGATTTGCCCCCTCTACCCAAGTAATTTCCCCGTTTGTGCCGAAGATGGGAAGAGGGAGAGAGGCGGCAGGCGCCGGGGCGGTGATGGCTGGGTGGGATGCAGCCGGGTGACGGCGGGGGCCAAGCCGGTGGCACCGGGCCCCGGCGGCGGGGCCGACAGAGGGCCCTGTTGCCGAAAAACCGCGCACCCCCGCAGAAAAAGGGAACTCGGCGGGGAAGGCGGCAACGGGGCAGGCCCGGTTTTGAACAGGCGCTGTGCTCCAGCGGCCACGAGGCCACCGCGCCGGGGACCTCCGTCCCCAACGCCGGTGCCAAAGCCCCGGGGCAACGCACAGGGTGGCTGATCCAGCATCGTGGTCCACGGGACGGGCTGGAGAAGCATTGGCCTCCCCCACAGCCACATGGGGGACCTCTGAGGGTGCCGACCAACGGAGGTTAAAAGCAAAAAAAATAACGAGGAGGAAAGGAAACAGGCTCGACGTGGGGCTGGAGGGGGAACGCGCTGCCACGGGACGTCTCTGAGGCTGAGAGCTGAGTGAGGGAAGGGGCAGGAGGGGGGACCCCAGGCTTCCGCAGGCATCCCTCGGGCTGCTAAACCCCTCACAGAGCTACTCACTTCCAGGACAGCCACAGGGAAACATGAGCAGAGCCCAAGCAAGCGCAGTTTGGGATGAGTTGGATGGATGTATTCGCTTCCCAGGGCAGAAAATGGCAGGTCCTGCCTGGCGGGACCCCGGCAGTGGCAGGAGGACACCTCGCTGCTGCTTTTCCCCACCCAAAGCCCAAGGGAGAGCATGCAAACCGCTTGCGAGCGCAGCGTAAAAATAAAACCCCAGAAAGGTGACTAAGCACTCTGGGTACCGAGGCATGACGCCAGAGGAGCCCAGCCTCCGTCCCCAGCTGCGCCAGGCTCCCACCAGTTCTCCC